TTCACATCAGTATCAAGTGCTTCAATATTTTCCTTCGTAACATCCTCTACCCATTAAAATATCCACAATCCATATGCTTAACCTGAAAATTTTCTTTCAGACATTTTGTCAAACACCTGCAGGGTAAAATCCACAATACATACAAATATATAGAAAAAAACAAGGAGAAACCACGTACCAATGAAAAATTGCACGTGTAAAAAGTCTTCCCAGGATTCCTAGGTGTATTTGACCTCCACATGGTAGTTTGAGTACCATACTACCATGGATGCACTTTGGCCCGTTAAAAGTTCCTATTTTTGATGAATACATTGAACTCACCTCACCCACCTCAATGTTCAAATTACTTTCGTTGCTAGGGCTTCCCATTTCTTTATAAAAGCTATAGAAAATGAAAGCACTACAATTTGAAGAAGTTCAGAGAAGGTGACAAGCTGAGAAGACCCTAACCCAATGTACCTGTGTATGTAGCAATGGTGAGAGAGAGAGGGAGGTCTAGAGCTCTGTTTTGTGTGAATTGTACTTTCCTTCTTCTAGCTTGTTTCTTCAGCGTTGTATTCCTTCATTATCACTAGTTCAGCTTTGACATTTAAGTAAGTGAGAGAGGAAGAAGTGTTATGTCTGTGAGAGCAAGGGGAGAAGGATTATGTCGTAAGGAGAAAGAAGGGGGCACATTGATTTTTATGTTGGGAAAAGGGGCAAAATAACCCCTGAAGTTGTTACCAAAGGGCATTTATGCCCTTAAACTATACTTTTGTGCAAAAATCTTTAAAATTAGTGAAAGGAGGGCAATCACCCTTGTTTAACGGTGAACACATTTTGCAACCGTTAAAGTTGCTCCCTTGGCTTCACTTGGCTGCAGTATGCAACCATTCAAATAAATTCATTTATTACTAATTCACTTATGAGGAATTAAAGTCACTTGAAACATTCAAATGCATCAATAAAGAAGCATATTTTTGTAGAACCGGAGAAAATATGTGCTAGATAGATTGTTGGCTCAAGTGCTCAACAACTCAAGCTATATTTTCAATGATGTGAAACCTGTGAAAGAAGCATATTTTACATTAACCAACGTGATAGCTAGCACCAATGGCGTGATATGACTAGGAATTTTCACTAAATTCTTAAAAAAATTACTAGGTATTACTAGTACATATTTGTGACTAAAATAAATATTGTTTCCAATAATGTTAGTAGTGACTAGAATAGTAATGAAAATAAAGTAACGTATGTTCATTTTTTAATCTTAAGTTACCATGATGCTACATTGTTGTAACTATTAGTCATATTTATGTAAGTTAGTTTTATTTTACTAATATTTTTGAAACAATCTCAATTCTGAATACCTGTACATTTTAAAAAATAAAAAAAATCGAATGAAACTACAATATTTAATACTCCCTCCGTCCCGAATTATAAGATACTTTTCGGTTTACGATGTTTGACCGACGATAAAGCAAACAGATCCCTGTGTGCACTTAGATTAATTTTAGAAAAAAAGAATTACATATTCAGAAACTACATTTAAAGCGCTACGAAACCTGGAAAAAATAATTCAAATTTCATAAAAATTTTGATATATAAAGTAAGAGATTAAGAGTGATTTGTGTTGATCAAGTGAATAGTAAAGACATCTTATAAAATGGGACAGAGGGAGTATATTTTTAATATATTTTTGAAACATAACAAATTCAAACCGAATCAAAGCAAACAAAAGTATGGTACGGAATATAGAGGAAATCCGCAACGAAAGCAACGGCGCCGCATCCGACCGCAACCAATATTGGTGTGTTTCAGATCATTGAGTGTTTATTGGATTCTTTAGATTTTTTAAACCAATTAATTTATATTGTATCTATTTTTTAATGGACATCGTGTACCGCCTCTGTCCCGCTGAAAGGTTCTAATGGCAAAATGACACAATTATTTAGACTATAATTGAACAAGGTAGTTCAATTATATTTTGAGAAATAATAATTTAATAAGTATATAATATAATGAGGTTAGTGTTGATAATCGTAATATTATAAATGTATTATTTTTAATATTTAATGACTAATTTGTCATTTAAGATTGTTAATTGTTTCCTAAAATGGAAATGAGAATCTTTATATGGGACGTTCGAATTAAAAAAGGAAAGTGAGAACCGTTCAATGGGACGGAGGGAGTATTTGTTATTCATGAAATATGGACAACTGTGCAATATTTCCCCGTTCTTAAACAAGTACTCCACTTTTCATGTTTGTCAATACATAACTTTAAGCATTAATATATACTCTCCCGGCCGTCTTTGAATTATCTTCTAGAGTGGGTTTTGCACGGGAATTAGGAAAGTGAAAATTGTGTGGTTGAGAGTTATACTGAAAAGAGTAAATGTGTAAAACACGTTGTGAACCATAAAATCTTTGCCAAAATAGAAAAAAGATTATTTTGGGACGGGCGAAAAAAATTGAAGGATAATTCAGGGATTGAGCGAGTATAATTCTCTAATAATAAAAACAAAAGAAAACAGTTTTTGAAAATTTTCAATGAGACAAGTTTAAAAATGTTTTGTTTCAAAATAATTTATTAATGCATTAATAAATAAAGCGAAGTAAAAAAGAGCATGTAAATAGTGTAAATTTCAACATATTGTACTTATTTAAGAATAGAGAAAGAATATACTGATTTTGGGATCAAAATATTCTAGATTTACTTCTTTAATTGAGCACAAGCTGAAATTCAAAGAAAAAAAAATCAAGAATACTGTCAATTTAATTTGTAATTTACGGTCATAGTAACCAAAGAGCAAATTTAATGATTCCCAGTTCTGTTAATTGGTTTACCGTTAGTGAAGGGGGTGATTGCACTCCTTTCACTTGTTCTAAAGATTTTTGCACAAGAAAGTAGTTCAAGGGCACCGATGCCCTTTAGTAACAACTTCAGTGGGGTTTTTGCCCCTTTTCCCTTTTATGTTTTTAGGTTAATAGCCACATCAGCTTTTAACGTTTCATAAGACGGGAAATGAAACAGAAGACATAAATGCATTGAAGTAAACAGTTGGAATCTTTTTAAGATAAAATGTAAAGATGATGATAGATTTGTGAATTTTAAGAAAGTTGGGGATATATTAAGTTAATAAGTCAAAAAAGAAACTGCTAACTAATTTTTTTTTAAATATAACTAACACTGAGGATGAGTTATTTCACTCTTAGCTCACCATGAGCAACTCTCATTTTTATTTGAAAATATAATTATTTGATTTGACAATGCCATCATATTAATTTGCCTACTTTTTTTTACCAGATTAATGCATGATTTCGGATTTGGAATGTCAAATTTTAATGGCCGCGGAAACTACCAAATCAGAATGTAATGCGAATTGCATTTTCTCTTTGGCGAAAGTGGCCGCGGAAACTACCAAATCAGAATGTAATGCGAATTGCATTTTCTCTTTGGCGAAAAGTGAGCTGCTTATGAAAAGGACATTTTTAAATCTTTCTTTAAAAGGAAAAACTGTCAAATAGGTCCTTGAACTTTCATAAAAAAGTCAAATAAGTTCTTGTATAGGAAGCTCAATCCGGCCATCGCGATTTGGGGCGGTTCCCGGTGGAATTTTTTTATCAAATTTTATGAGCATCTTATAACTTCAATCGGAAACACATTAAAATTAATTCTTGAAGATAACTATGCAATTAAATGAGCAGTTATCTAGAATTTTTTGATGAAATTTTTTGTTATCCATTTGGAGATATTCCAGGTGTTATTCATTAAGTCTAGTTTAATTAATCATACCAAATTTCAGCTAACAATTCAATCGGGAAGGCACTCACATGAATTCTTGAAGATAACTGCACTTTTAACTGCGCAATTACCTTCAAGAATTAATTTGAATGCGTTCCCGACTGAAGTTTTGGCTGAAATTTGGTATGCGTAACTAGATTTGATGAATAAGATGCTCAAAAAATTTCATCAAAAAATTCCACCGGGAACCGCCCCAAATCGCAATGACCGGACATAGCCTCCTACATAAGGACTTATTTGACTTTTTTATGAAAGTTTGAGGACTTATTTGAGAGTTTTCCCTTCTTTAAACTTTTGTTCTATAGAGATACATTTCGCATTTGGGATCGATTGTATGTACTTTTCACGACTCATATTAGAAAATAATGGAAAAGAGGCAAATAAGCTCATGTACTAACAAAAAAAGGTTAAATAAGCTCTTATATAGGAGATTCTGTCCAGCCGTCGCCATTTGAAGTTATTCCAGGTGGAATTTTTTGATGAAATTTTTTGATCATCTTGTTCATTAAGTCTAGTTTAATCATACCAATTTTCAGCTAACAATTCAATCGGGAAGGCATTCAAATGAATTCTTGAAGTTAACTGCATAATTATCTTCAAGAATTCATTTGAATGTCTTCCCGGTTGAAGTTATAGCTGAAATTTGGTATGAGTAAACTAGACTTAATGAATAAGATGCTCAAAAAATTTCATCAATTTTTGTGATATTGGATATAATTTTACTAATTTCCATCATTTGCAATGGAGCCAAAGATTCATTATTTTTTGACTTGAGAATATGATGGAATAAAGCAAAAATAACTCACTAAACTGTTTGACGCTTGTTTGTTATAAAGCAACAGTTAGTCCATGCAATTTTGGACCCGATTTTTACTATGGGTCATCCGGAAACAGTCTCTCTGTGCTTTAGTACAGGGGTAAGACTGCGTACATCCGACTCTCTTACTCCACCGTAGGTGACAGCTTTTGCCGCACTGGGTAAATGAAAATGATGAAAATGAATTGGATATAGTTTTACTAGTGTTTCCTATAAAAGAAAAGTTGAATTAAGTATTTTTAAATTATCAAAAAATGAAAAATGTAGTAAAATTTTAAAAGTATTCAAAAAAAAGTGTAGCAATCTTTAAAATATAAAGTAAAATAGGAGTATTATAGAGAACTCACAACTTTAATTAAAAAATAAAAGAATCATGCTAAGGTCTGTCTTATCTTCTTCGTGAAGGAATGTCATAGTGCGTATTTGAGGTAGCTAAATTCAGACGCAATTTTGCTGTTATCTTCTCACCGCGTTATTCGTATATGGTAAGTAGTACGGTGCAGTATAATTATTCTGATTGTTATATCCAGAAGGAGAGAATTCTGCTATCAAATTCCTTGCCCAAATTCTGCTAATCGTACGCAGTAAGTAGTCTTCAGGTGCTCTATACTCTCTGCAACCATGGGCGATCCGACTAGGCCGCCGCCCGTCACCGGCTACCCTGCCTGTCCACCCAACGGTTACCCCCCTCCTCCCGCCGGCACGGCCTACCCATATCCACAGCCCAGCGCGGCCTACCCATATCCACAGCCCGGCAATTACTACATCAACAATACCGATGTTTACATGAACCCGCGCCGCATCTTCCTCCGACGCCTACTGCTCGTGCTCGTGGCCTGCTTCGTCATCGCTATGGTTGTTGGCATGGTCCTCTGGGTCATCTTCCGTCCCAAAGTCCCCGAGGTCAGAGTCGATTCGCTTTCGGTTTCCGATTTCAACCTCTCTAGCAACTTCCTCTCAGCGAATTGGGACTTGAAGTTCACGGTTCGAAACCCTACTAAGAGGTTCAGTCTCTACTATGACGATATTTATGCCTCAGTTTACTACGGCCACTCGATGCTGCTTGCTTGGACCAGTGTGGCGCCTTTCTCTCAGGATTCGTATAGCGAGACACCCTCCAAGGCGACGTTTTCTGCGGCTTCAACGTTTGTGGACAATTGGGTTGTGGAAGGGATCAACAAGTCGAACCCCAATGTTGAATTCGATGTCCTTATGCTGGCTAGGGTTAGGTTCAAGGCCGGTTCATGGAGGGCAAGGGGGAGGTATTTGAGAGCCTATTGTCGGGATTTGAATGTGCGACTTGGAAACCATACGGTAGAACATTTCAACTAGTCTGCGTTAAATATAACACTTTCCCATATTGCTTGTAGCGTTTATGTTTCCTACCCATTATCTTACCTTCCCGTGACCTTCCATTGTAGGCACACAGTTTATCGTCTGGCAACTTGGTAGGAGGCCCAAAGCAGTGCCAAGTGAGACTTTCGTGATGGTTTGATTGCCCTTTCAGGTGAATTTTATTCACTGTGACTTTTCCTTTGATAACTCTGTTATTAAATTTAATTATGCCGAAATGTATTGCTTGTTGTTATCATTAGGAGGGAAAATATGATGTAATTAGTCGACAGTGGTGATTAAATTTAGGCAAATTATGATTAGTATGTGCCACATGCATTTTCGTGTTGATGGTTTCATGATTTGGCTGTTTACAACGAGTCTGCTTCCAAATTGCACATTGGTTTACTGTAAATGTCATGTGAATGGTTGATCTTGTAATCTAGAAACTTGCTGTAAATTATGATGAAATAATGACAAATATGTAACCGAAATAAAGGCGGTGGACAAAAATATGACTTAGTGACTACCATAGTAACTTTAGTGACGTTCAACTCTATCACTATTGTGACTATGCATAGTAACTATAGTACAGAGTAATATTTTAGTAATATTTAATGAAAAACCAATTATGATATTCAAAAGAAAGATCAGTACTGCTGTAGTCGATATAGTGTGTATCTTTCATCACACTTCATCAGTTATTCATCAAATGTAGAGCTTTTTAAGTAAGGGCTCGAGTTGAGTGAATGGACCTTTTGTCAAAAAGGTACTGAGTGTTTTCTTTTTTAAGCAAAAAAACACTTTTCAGCTAAAAGACAGAGAAATATTAATTCCAAGCCCCAATATCTCAAAGCTGGAGCTTTAGGGATTAGAGGTGACATTACTTTTACTTCTTCAGTAATTGTTTTTTAAAACATGTTAAGCACTACTTTCTTAGTCATACTTGCTTTTGAGTTAAACACATTTGTGAGGCACTAAGGATCAGTGATGTTAATAGCGGCGCTATAGCGCGCTATAGCGGTTTAGCGGAGCGGCAGACATGGAAGGCGCTACCAGGAGGGCTGTAGCGTGGCGTTTGGGTGTAGCGGCTATAGCGCCCGCTATAGCGTTGGTGCGGAGAACGGGAGAAGGTTTTCGCGGTCGCTATAGCGGCGAGATTTGTGGTAAAAGGGTTGAGAGGGTTTTTGGCGTTAAAATTTTTTAGCACAGAGGTATAGAAGGGGTAAACTAGACTTTTAAAACAAAATATTAACTACTTAAAACCCTTACACGTACGTAAAAACTCACGACTCCAGTTTTTGGCGTTTTTTTTTATGCTCTGCGATGCTTTCTTATCCAAGAAAGCCCTGTTTCTGCTCTGCGATTGGTTCTTCTCCAACAACTACACGTGCTGTCCTCCTCTTCCTTCATTCTTCTCATTAGTTTTTTCTGCTGCAACATCTTCTCCTCCAACTTTTGCTACAGACCTGCAGTGAGTCTTCTTTTCTTCTTCTTATTATCTCGTATGGAGTCTACTGCCATGTTTAAGCCCACACGAAAACACCTTGACCCAGCTTGGAAGTGGAACAGTTTGACTGTTAATATATGAAGGCTTAAACTCTTAAACTAAAACCTTATTTTTGATTCAATGTTTTGACTTAAGATGTTTTAATCATTAATAACATCTTTTGTTTTGCTCATGAAACTAAAGAGTATTTCTAAGTAATTTAGGGTTTATGAATGCTAAGATGTTTGCAACTTCATTGACATATATCATACTTTTTGAACTCAATATGTGTATGTAATGTATTATATATGCTTCTAGCAGTTACTAATTTATTATATTTGAAATAGCCTAAATAGCGGTCGTCCCGCTATCCGCTATACCGCTATAGCATTTTTGGGGCTGGCCGCTCCGCTATCTGGGATTGACAACACTGCTAAGGATATGTTTGGTAAGCCAGTGAAAAGATACTTTTGTAAGCTTTTTAGTAACTATTAGCTTTTAGTGACAGAAAAGATCTTAAAAGAAAAGAAAAAGGTTGAAGCTATTCGATAAAAAGCTGACAGTTTGATATGGTTCTGTTTGATATAACAAGCGTTTGTGATAAATTAGGGCTAAAAGCTACAGTCTTTTCCCATGATTGTAGTTTCTTAAAAAAATCTTAAATTTTTAGAAAAGCTCTTAAAATTTATTGTGTCAAACATACAACTATGAACTTTAAGAGACTTTTTAAACAGTAAATAGGTGACAGTTTGTTATAGTTCTGTTTAGTATAACAAGCTTTTGTGTTTAATTGATGCTAAAAGCTACGGACTTTTCTCAAATACCACTGAGTGTAGTTTCTAAAAAAAGATCTTGAATTTTTTGAAAAGCTCTTAAAATTTGTTGTGTCATACTTACAACTATGAACTTTGAACTTTGCCATACTTGAATAGTACAAAAAAACTAGTATTTTTTGGTGAAACAAATTTGGAAATTGGAATAAATTTGAGAAAGAGCACCTTGTCTAATTGCAAACTGAAACTGTCATATGCCATACAAAAATATAACAAAATAGAGAAGCATACATGTACAAAGATGCAACCGATAGAAACATTATATATTGTTAACATCATAAGAAACCTAAAAATATTTAAAAATAAAAGAGAAGCAATGCACTAGAAGATGAAAGCGAAAAACTGAGCCACGTCTTCAGGCAAGCCTCATATGGCAGTAACTGGGTCTGTAATGTGGTGTTGGGGAATCACAGCAGCTTCACCAAATTTGTCTTGTATTTTTCTCTCTTTGTGATGCTCTTTTTTCTTAAACCAGGATTTCAGAAATCATTGCTTGTAGAATTGTTAAGTCTTTGTTTTAATAAAGACTTAACAATCTTTAAAAGTTCAGTTATATTCATTTAGGATGCTCTAAACTATTTATGAATACACAAAAATTGAGGCATATAATGTCAAGGATTTTACATATGAATAAAAAATTTGGGGTATACAAACTATCAATGATACTAGTGGAATTTGAAAATCATACAAAGCTGTGGCTTTTGTAATATTAATTATGATTAACAATCGCCAGTATTTTTTTACCCATGAGCTATGTTGCATGGAAACAGGGAAAACATCAAATATGGAGAAAGGTGAAACATGGAACCCCATCTTTTAATAGAAAAAGTGTTTGGAGAGTTTTAAAGAGTCCCTGATGAGTTTCCGAGAAGAAAATTTACTCATTTCTAACTTCTAAGGGCTTTACACTTTTACAGCCTATGAGAACAAAGATTTTTAGTTTTGAAAAATCTATGAGCAGACATACTCACAAAACACATACCGTGAACTGTTGTCAGAACCAGCTTTTACATTTTGACACAAAAACTGATCATTTAACTAGGCATGCATTTAGCATGGTTCAAAGAAATGATTTTATTGCAATGCTTTATTTGGTTGTCTATTGTGTTCTCTTTGTGTTACTGGGCTATTCATTTTATTCATAGTGTATACATATCATTTTGTAAAATCTATATTAATATTATCTGCCTTCATAGAACTTCTTAATTTTTATTATGCGATTGTAGTCAGCTCTTTATCTCTGGCTAAGCCGTGAATTTATTATCAGGTTAGCTGGGAAAGTGTTCACAAATGGAAGTGTTTGTTGTGAAAGTGTGAGTTCGAGTTGCCAAATGTATTGAATGGGAGGAAACTTCATATATGCAAATTCTTATATTGGTAGCAATTAGTAGTCTAGTACAACCTCGTAGTTGGAGCAACCAGAATGAAGTGCATATATGAAGTAGCTTAAATGTTTCGATTAATGGTATTGTTTTGTCTAAAGACGTGCTCCCATGCTTTATGCAGGAGAAATTAGGGTTTCATTATCCTACTGTGTATGTTTTAGTGTATGCTTTAGTGCATGTTTGATAGGCATAAGTCCCTAGCTTTTAGCTTTTTTACTCATCAATTTTTAAGAGTTTTTTCTTTAAATAAAATATCTTTTTAAAAGTTGTTGTAACTAATTAATCCTAAAAGTCGTTACTAATTAATGATAAAAGCTACAAACTTTCTCTTGGAAGCTGCTCAGTGTAGCTTTTCCGAGAGAATGTCTATAGCTTTTAGCATTAATTAGTCACAATAATTTGTTATACCAAACAAGACTAAATCAAACCGTCACCTTTTTTATTAAACATGTGCAATCTTTTTTGTTTTTGTTTTTAAAATTTTATCGGTCAGCCAACGGTTACTAAAAAGTTCCCACAAGTGTCTTTACAACTAGCTGTGTCAAACATACCATCAATTTATGTTAACTCTCATGGGTCACCGTATGATGTATTTTCATTCGAGATATAGTCGTGCAACACACTTGTGGAAAGAAAACTGTGAAGGATATTTCCAAACACCCTTCTTCTAGAATCTTTTGCATTGTTGCATATATTCATTCTTACACTTGATGTCTGTCCTTGGTTTTTGTACTTAATTTTTCCGTCTGGTGTGCCTCTGTGGCTAATTACATCTTTTGATTTTTTTCAGTAACGTTCTGCCGAATGTTTCTTGCCGAGCCCAAGAGCCTTCTTTCAATACATGGTCATCCTATAGTGGAATGTGGGGATCTCTTTTCAATGAGTTTTTTTACATTTATCCCACTCTTGTGTAGCTGTGAGTGCTTTGACATAGGTATTAAGGTATGTATACTAACTAGATAATAGGTGCAGCAGTTGAGACAACACTAGCAGGTGATGAAGTACCATATCATTTTTCTTAAGTACTCATTTTGACAGGCTGGAGTTTGGATGTTAAGAAATTCCTTCCAGCATCTATCTTAAAATGCCAATGCTTGAAATTTAATGTCCCTATAATTGGGACAAACACGGGCTGGTTCTGGACGGACCTAGCCCGGTCCGGGTCCCTTCCCCCAGAATGGGATGATTCGGGTACCGGTCCCGTCTATTTGGACTATCCCAAACCAATTCCAAAACCAACTATTTTATAGTCTGTATATCTGTGTGACTGACAGAGGAAGGCTTGCCCCCACCATTGTGGTGGATCCTTCCTCGGACAGTCACCTTGCGGGATATCTTCATGCACCAGGATGCCCTAATATAATTTTCTATTAAAAAAATGTAATAATATTTTTTTATAATTAAAATATGTGTATTAGGAGAAGTGATATGACCGGCCAATGCTAGGCATGTAAAATTATAAATGTAAGGCATGATATACAATTTATGCCTAACATTTGACAGGCCATTAAGATAGTAAGATTGAGATATGACAAGTTACGTTATTACTAGTAATAGGAGAAGTGAAATTATATGGTTTGTGTTCAAATTTTAAAGTATAAATAAAGTATATATGAGAATAGAACTCACTCACCGAATATGGTATGCGGTAAACATAGTACAATACAATACAAGGATACTCTCCATTCAAGTTGACTTGACAGTTTAGTGTTCAAATAGTACACATAATCACTGCTTGTTCTTTGCTTTTGGGTATGATTTTTTATTAAATTCGTTTTTTATATTTTGTGTTTCGATAGAATTTTTAGCGATATCTACAATTTAATGTTGATAATATTAGAAATGATTGTTGCTCAAAAGTCGAATGTTTAGAGGTCTGCGGGGTTCTGAGCGAGGCTCGCAGTGATGATGGACAGTGATGATGGACAGTGCCGCTTGCGTGTCCATAGGGGGAGTAGTTTGTTGAGCCTGGGTGGGTTCAATCCTTTTTGTGTGCCTTCCTTTGATGTCGATGCGTGCATCCAGGGCACTAGCGCAGTGATGTTTAGCTTGTTATGAAGGTCGGCCATGGGGTCAAGTCGGTCAACCATATGCTAGATGGCAGCCTCCTCGGCGACTCGGCCATGGGGTCAACCATATGCTGGTGACAGCCTCCTTGGCTGCCTTCTAGGCCGTGGGGCCAATTATATGCTGATGGCAGCCTCCTCAGCCGCCTTCTCGGTCTAGACCAGGAGGGCCTTGTTCGTGGGGTTCTTGTTTGACCTAATCTTTCTCATCTTTGTGTTACCAGTGTTTGATAGCAACGAGCGTACTAACTTGATTGTTCTCTCTCTCAATGAAAGCACCAAATGATAGAGTATAATTCTAGAGAGAAATGAAAGTCAGATAGAGAAAGATATTTGCATTCGATTTTTTTCAACCCCCTACACTTACCTCCAAGGCCAAGGGGATATTTATAGAGGGAATTTGGATTGGACTCCTAGGTTTGGGCCTAGGAGGCCTAATTACAATGATGGGCTACTCAAAGGCTGTGTATACGAAGCTATTTTAATTAGTATAATGTGAAAGGATATCTGCTTAAGGCCCAAGTCAAGGCGTCCAGGCCGAGGAGGCCAGGCAACGGTGACTGTTCTTGAGCTAAATTCCTTGATCCATGTCTGGAGTAGGGCTGGGAAAAAACTCCCGACACTCGACTCCCGATCTCGACAATCCCGATCCCGACTGGTCGGGAACTTTTCCCGATCCCGACTAAGTCGAGATAGGACCGGTTTTTTTTAAAGTCGGGATCGGGAAAGTCCCGACATCCCGACATTATATATATATATATATATATATATATATATATATATATATATATATATATATATATATATATATATATATATATATATATATATATATATATATATATATATATATATATATATATATATATATATATATATATATATATATATATATATATATATATATATATATATATATATATATAGGGCAGTTCACATCAGGAACTCCTGAAAAGAAGCCCCGTGCGGACAAGCCCATCAGAGGGTCTTCCCGGTGGAATTTTTTGATGAAATTTTTTGAGCATGTTCCTCATCAAGTCTAGTTTGTCCATACCAAATTTCAGCTCAAAATTCGATCGGGAAGGCAGTCAAATAAATCCTGGAAAACTATGGCTCATTCTGGGCACATATAAAGTGCAGTATGTTTCCAGGATTTATTTGACTGCCTTCCCCGATCGAATTTTGAGTTAAAAATTTGGTATTGACAAACTACACTTGACGAAGAACATGCTCAAAAAATTTCATAAAAAAATTCCACCGGGAAGACCTTCTGATGGGCTTGTCCGCACATGGCTTCTCTTCAGGAGCTCCTGATAGGAACGGGACTATATATATATATATATATATATATATATATATATATATATATATATATATATATATATATTATATATATATTCCGGAAAATACATATTCCGGACCAGTTAACTTGCAAAAATCATTTGACGACCTTCCCGATCGAATTTTGAGCTGAAATTTGGTATGGACAAACTAGACTTGATGAAGAACATGCTCAAAAAATTTCATCAAAAAATTCCAAACGGCGGAGTTCGGACGGCGGCTGGACCGGGGAGGGCTGGACCTGATCTTTTTTGTATATATATATATATATATATATATATATATATATATATATATATATATATATATATATATATATATATATATATATATATAGAGTGCTCTTCATGTCAGGCCGGCCTGACGGGCTGCCCCGTCCGGCCGAGCCCGTTTGGGCACCTTCCCGGTGGAATTTTTTGATGAAATTTTTTGAGCATGTTCCTAGTCAAGTCTAGTTTGTCCATACCAAATTTCAGCTCAAAATTCAATCGGGAAGGTCGTCAAATGATTTTTGCAAGTTAACTGGTCTGGAAAATACATATTCCGGACCAGTTAACTTGCAAAAAATCATTTGACGACCTTCCCGATCGAATTTTAAGCTGAAATTTGGTATGGACAAACTAGACTTGATGAGGAACATGCTCAAAAAATTTCATCAAAAAATTCCACCGGGAAGGTGCCCAAACGGGCTCGGCCGGACGGGGCAGCCCGTCAGGCCGGCCTGACATGAACATTCCTCTATATATATATATATATATATATATATATATATATATAATATATATATATATATATATATATATAGTACTCTTCTCGTCAGGGCCGGCCTGACGGGAACCTCCGTCCGGCCGAGCCCGTTTGGGCACCTTCCCGGTGGAATTTTTTGATGAAATTTTTTGAGCATGTTCCTCATCAAGTCTAGTTTGTCCATACCAAAATTTCAGCTCAAAATGTGATCGGGAAGGCATTCAAATCATTTTTTGAAGTTGACTGCATCAAAATATACATATAAAACTGCAGTCAACTTCAAAAAATAATTTGAATGCCTTCTCAATCGAATTTTGAGCTGAAATTTGGTATGGACAAACTAGACTTGATGAGGAACATGCTCAAAAAATTTCATCAAAAAATTCCACCGGGAAGGTGCCCAAACGGGCTCGGCCGGACGGAATAGCCCGTCAGGCCGGCCTGACATGAACTTTCCTCTATAATGCATGTATATAATTATATATGAAGAGTCCTTTTCTTGTCCAGCCGGCCTGACGGGAACCGCCGTCCGGCCGAAGGCATTTCGGGCACTTCCCGCTGGAATTTTTTGATGAAATTTTTTGAGTATGTTCTTCATGAAGTCTAGTTTATCCATACCAAATTTCAGCTCAAGATTCGATCGGGAACCCATTCAAATCATTTTTTGAAGTAGACTGTGTCAAAATATACATATAAAAACCCTCAGTCAATATTCAACTTCAAAAATTATTTGAATGCCTTCTCCGATCGAATTTTGAGCTGAAATTTGGTATGGATAAAACTAGACTTGATGAAGAACATGCCCGAAAAATTTGCATCAAAAAATTCCATCAGGAAGTGTCCAAAATGCCCTCGGCCGGACGGCGGTTCCCGTCAGGCCGGCTGGACACGAAAAGTTGTCTATATATGAATATATAAAAAACGAATATACATTTATAAAAAATGAATATGTATCTAAATATTTGTATATCTTTTTTAATTACTTATTCCTTACATAGATTAATCTTTTACTACGGAGTATCTTACAATATCAATCTTCTAAAGCTATTCGGCATTTGACCAAAAATGAATATTTGGGATCCTAACTAAATAGAGATTATTCTTGATCTTGACAATCTAAATCACAACAATATTACAAATTTTGCGTTTCTGATTAACTCTTTAAAAAATAATGATCGAGACTAAGATTTATTTCTTTAGTAAATAATCATAATATGTATTTATACATTATATTCGTTGGTCACAAAGTTTCTCGATGAGTCTACTTAGTTTTGAATTTTAAATAATATATATTACACATCCTTCTTTTAGTAATTTTTATATAATGTTTGAAGTAAGTTTCAGTCTTGATAGCTTATTCAAAAATTATACTATTAATTAATTGAAGTTACAAATAAAAATTATTCTAAAAGTATATACTATTGTGAATTTGAGATGATATTTATTATAATAAATTTTATAAGTAGATGATGATAAATATGGTATAACAATATAATGAACAGAGAATAATCTTGAAACCACTAAATATCAAACTAAAGAAATTACATAATTTTATGTTTGATACTTCATTGTTGGGATTTAGCGAGATTAAGCGGGATTCTCGATCAGGATCCCGATTTAATTGGGATTTTAATGTCGGGATCCTGACTTAATCGGGACGGGATACGTGAACCTCTTGTAGTTGAATCGGGATCGGGATTTGGTTAATCAGGATCGGGATCATCCCGATCTCACCCCTAGTCTGGAGGTCATCCTTTCTGGGAATCTTTCTATGTGGGTGGTTCTAGGCTGGATGAGAGGGCCCATTCGAGGAGTATTCTAGTAGGGTGTAGTCTTGTCTGTGTATCCATGGAGTATGTGGGCCGTTGGCTTGGGCCCGTATATTCTATCACCAAACGTGGGCTTGGGCCC